GTTCATTCAGTAGATCATGTTGAAGGAATCAAGACGTAGCATAAAGTATCAACTCACCCACAGAATAATGCCTGTTTGTGTGGAAACTCATCTACACAGCAGTAGCTTGATTCACATTGATACAGTAGTAGAAATGTTACTGGGCTTTTTTTGGCGGGGAGGGGTTGGTTTTCAAATACAAAACGTGGTAATGCATCCTTCTCCCTTAAAAGTAAGGGAAGTTCTTCAGATGAAAAAGAAGACTGACTGAATTCCAGCTACCAGTCTTTTTCTGAGCAAGACTTAAACATATTTGTTGCCCAGTTATATATTGATCTTTAAGCCATGGAATTACACCAAAGGGTTTCTTAATGGTTTATTAGTACTTCTAAAACTCCATGAGAAACCAATATCTGGCTGAATGTAAATGACAGATCAGCATGATTATTCTGGCCTAGGAGCACGAATTATGTTTGGGGAAGAATTAAAAGGCACAGCATGTCAAGCTGCCAACTTAGGAGCCAGCCAGGCGGGGATCTCCAGAGCACTGCATTGATGTCTGGCAGATGGCAAATGCAGCTTTGTCCACAAAGGTGCTGTCCAATTTCCCCCTTTTTGCTTCTCAACCTGCTGTACTTTAGAATAGTCTCTTCTGCACTGCGGCAGATGGGGCCAGATGGTTTGCAGTGCAGAGTATAAAACGGCCCATAACAGTTGACTTTCTTCCTTGCATCCTTCAGCTGACACCACAGCCCAGGTCTGCTTTAAGAGACAGGGACTGAAAAGTCTAGCAATAAAAATATGAGCAACTATAGCAGTATGCTTGATTCTTAGATTATTATGGATTAGATTCTTAGGTTCTTGGTTGGGTTTAACTCTTAGGTCCTTGTTTGTAATTTGGTGCTGCTGCAATGAGGTAATGGCAACCAACTGGGACCAGTTAAGGACACCCTGGAAATATGTTCAGGCTAGCAGGCTGATAAAGAGGTGAGGACTCAAAAAAGCGGGGAGCGGGAAGGATGGCTCACAGCAAGCCTGGTAGTCCAGAAATGTTGGTCCACAAGAGCACTTGTAGTTCTTCTGATCATTGTAATCCTGGAATAGTAAATATTGTAAAAAAGGGTTCCTCAACCTCAGCAACTTTAAGATGGGTGGACTTCAACTCCCAGAATTCCCC